CCCCCCCCCCCCCCCCAATACATTTTGCTGGATCCACCACTGTCGGTAAAGATTTGATCTGAAAAAAATCATTCCCCCACGACACTACAGATGTTGTGCAAGATTATTACTTAGTCGATAAATATTCATCGGTCAGCACATCGATTAGGAATTTCCATTATGGAAAGCTTAGTACAGGGCTTTTTCGTCACTGGTCCACAGGATTGCATCGACCATGTGTCCGCCATTATTCTATTACGTCATTTAAGTGAACTGCCCTATGGTACGTAAATTGACGTTTTTGATTGGTCGGGCGATTGACCTTGTGTCACATTTTCATTACACCGGATTCGGTAAAAAACACAGAGTTAAGCAGTCATGTACATTCTATAAATCTAACCTTGCACACATAATCTTGTACTGACGTGTTTCCCTTCATTTAACCCCCAGTTAACTCTTCGCGTCCATGGTATTTGTGAGAGTTGAAAGATTTTTGGAACAAATGACAAGTAACTATATTGATTTGCGTCAAGCTGGGTGGCCCGAATTTAAATATCAGTTCGTGAACTCTGGATGTCATTGCCCAATGCCGCACGTAATTCAAACGCGTGGTTATTATAGTTCAGTCGAAATGTACATGAATGATGCGATCGAAGTGCGCTGCCCAGTGTTTATTATATTATAGTAAAATTTTATTTAATTGACGTATGGTATGTTCATGTTTGCGTAATTATTACGAATGCAACGCATTATCAAGTCGGTGATATTGAAATATTCACAGACCCAATACCCCGGGTCAGTGCCCTAACAATAGTTAAAAACTACTAGTAATTATCATGAAAGCAATACATTACAAAGTTGAAATATTCAGAGCCGGTACAATATGTAAACAAATTTGCGTAATTAGAAAAGCAGTGCACTGAGTAAACGACGTTGATATATTCAAAGCCAGTACAGAGTTGCATACAAGTTGTGTAATTACAGTACCTTCGGATTTAATAAAAATTTTACTAGATTGACGCGTGGGGCACGGAAGAAAAAGGTTGCTATGGTAACGCGCCAGTTCAGTGCGTGACTTGGGGTCAAACTTCGCACACACACTTGATGTCAGCATTGCCGCGCAGCAAGTTTTGCAAAGAAGTACTTGAAGTTCAATTGCGTCCCAAAATGATGTCCATGATGCACCACGACTTTGGCTTTCGACTTTGGCTTGCTCCTCCTTCTTAGTGCATGTTCACGTAAAATGCGACCTCTCATCAATGTATTAAAACACTTTGAATTTATACTTTGCATGATTATATTTGGTCAACGCGAAACATTATTTTTTCTAAACATTTTCTGAGACCATTTTTATCAACGCAGGGTTTTTTTTCCAGGCAAGATGGGCTTCGTAATATCTGCCAAAACATCACCCGGGTAATGCCTAGAAAAATAAAAAAGGCAGTGCAGCCAGACAGCTACTTTGTAGCCACGAGTTCATTGTTTGTTTGTGTACAGAGTGACGTTTGCCATGAAACTGTTTCATTTCAAGTGTAACATGGTGCGTGTTCTCTGCCCGACTATACGCCATGAATGTTGCTAGCCACGAGTCTCAGAGGCACTAAAACAACGTCCTGTAATCGTGTTCATTGAAAAACAAAACAAATCACTAACGAATTTATGGAAACAGCTCCTTTTTGAATCGATCTAAAAGTACTCTTTTAATTCGCACACCAAAAACCAATAATTTTCGTTTTAACGTTATTCGTTCGCACACTTGAAAAAATAATTATTTTTACTACCGCGATTTAATCAAGTTTTTACGGTACCAGCAGGGATGGGAAAACCATATTGTACAGGCCACCCTCACACACAGAAGACAGGACAATATAAATACGATATCCCACATCCCTATCCCACCCATTATTTGTGCACAGTTGTATAAATATTGTCACATTTCTTGCTAGCCATGATGAAAATATAAATAAATCTTTTATATTGACAGAAAGTAACATGCAGTATCATGGCAAATTTAGCTGCACATAATGACCATATTATATCAAATATATTAGACTGGAACACACTACCTCTCATCAGTACTGTACTCAAAGATGGAACTTGGTAAGACATGTTTACACATTTCAACTGACTATAGCAGTGTGGTATCTTCATTGAATCCCAAAAGTTAATACTGTATGTATTATTTAAATGCATAGTACATAATGGGCAAATAGTTTACTTGAGTTTACCAATTGAGTACCTTCAGCCTTCTCTAATGAAAACAAAGTATTGTGAGTCCAGATATTGGGGATAGTGAATGGAAACTGAATAATTTAATAAATTGTAGCAGGGAAAAAATCTCCTACCCTGCACACTATTCTGTTGAGTTGTGTTTCTCTTGTACACAAACTAGCATTGTGTGACAAAGTGGAGCACAGTTCAGTTGAAATGAAATAAAGGATATCCTGTTCCACAATATGTAATCTTGATTATTATTATTTTCTGTGCAGAAGTACATGTACTTCACTTTTTGTGTACAGTATATAAGTATATAATGCATCAGTGTCTTAATATCTGGATTTCAACATTGGTGATACTGTGAACCTGTGATTTCAACATTGGTGATACTGTGAATCTGTGATTTCAACATTGGTGATACTGTGAACCTGTGATTTCAACATTGGTGATACTGTGAATCTGTGATTTCAACATTGGTGATACTGTGAACCTGTGATTTCAACATTGGTGATACTGTGAACCTGTGATTTTTCACTGATTTCTTTTGCATTGTACAAGTTATCATACTTACAATGCACACATGTACCAGATTATTCACTGTAATTTGTCTATTCTGTTGCAGTGGTGCCCAAATATATGGAATGACATTTCTTGCTAATCTCTCTGAGTGTGACTATGGATTATCAGTTATATTAGAAGAACAGTTGGTTCAATATGTCATCTATTCTATAGCTAATTCTAGTTGCAGGTAAGATCACCCTTTGCTCATATCCCTCATTACTTGTGACATATACAAGCATGGATAAAAAAAAACGTGTCAGCTTGAAAAATACATGAGGTGGAAAGGTCAATCTCGCCAACATATATGGATGCCATGAATAACCTGATGTGCGAGTTCATGTCTTTGATTGGATAACTGCTTGATCCTGTGTCATAATTCGTGTATACAATCCGAGCTCACTAGCAGCACTCAGTTGCCTTAATTTGCATTTAAATTATTGTAACTATTAAATTATATCATATTTTTAGAGGGAAACATAACCAGCAAGTTTTTTGTCTATATTGATGTAATTTAGCTGTTATTTTGTGGCAGATTTGCATAACGTTGTACAAAGCACCATATAAGGTCATAAGTCATTGTGGTGTGTGCATGAACTTTTTGCGAAACCAATTGATGCTACTGGTAGATCAAATCATGGCAAATGTTTTGTTATCCGAAAAATTACTCACCATTTGTTGAATCAAACAAATTCTTTTAATTAACGCTAAAGAAAAAATAATTTAATTTTTGTATGCTATTAAATCTTGAATCTGTAAATTAATTGAATTGTGAATGATTTCCTCTTGAAAACCACTGCTTTCGAATTGGTATTTGGTATGTAGGTTGGGTTGACCTCTCTAAGCTTTGTTCATTATGTGACAATATCCAGAATGGAATTTTCTCAAACGTTTCATGCTAATAGGGGCTAACACAAACTATTCACCATAATTTCAAAGTTTTAATTGGTTCACTAGTTTAGCAGCCATTGTATTGAAATTAAGCTGAATATTTTATGGCATATAGTACAACTCATTTGCATCAGATATCAGCAATAAAAACTTTAGTATAATAATAATAATAATAATAATGTTTATTCAACCTTTGTATCGGCAGCATGAAAACAGTAATACATATATTTAAATTACATTCATCATTTCTTTTCTATATTGCCATAAATCAGTTACATATTTCCTAATTAAAGCTGATGAGGTATTTCCCACATAGTAGACATGTGACTTTTTCTGCCATGTTTTTTTATGATTGGTCACATGGAAGTAGTTTTTTATTGATGCCCAGTTATGTGATTATTTTGAAATTTGTCACATTGCATCTCCATACCAAACTCTTTCAGACTGGTAAAACAAATTGGGATCAGTCAAATGGTTTGGCCACCATCTTGGATTGAAATTTTACTTATACCCCCCGGTAGCATGCCTGGTCAACACTTTATAGGAGAAAAATTGGATAAATTAGATCATGCAGTCACATGATTTGACTGCATTTTGGATTTTCGGCAGAAATGACCAAATTGAAAAGTTTTTGCTTAAATGTAATATCTTTACAATAACTGCATACAATAATGGCTTATTGATGACACTGCACAACAGATAACTACTTCTCACTAGACTATGAATGCATACCGTCCACATGGACCTTATCAGGCCATTCAAATACCTGCATTTGGATCCCACTGATGTTGTGGGTGGCTACATTAAGTCAGTTATTGAATAATCATCTAGTGCATATTTATATATATTTTTCAGAGAGATACGAGAAACAGCCTGTAGAATTATAAAAAACATGTTGGTATGTAGAAAGACACCACAATTGAGAGATTTTATACTTCAGATAGCAAACCTAAACTCTCAAAAAGATACAACAGAGGCAGATATGGACATGACAACACTTGACACAGAGGCACTGTTAAAATTAGGAATTGGACGTAAAGAAGTCAGTGCAAAAGTGGAAAAAGGAGTTAAGAAGTTGACGTGTATATTGATTACACTGTTACTCCGAGAAGGTACATGTATTATCAATAAGTTTGTATGTGCGTGTTTATGTATATATATGTGTGGTATTTATATCTGTCCAAAGATACTTCAAGAACAAATTATCTTATTTTTATGAAACTTATTAGGTAGATCTTCTTATGTAGTTTTTTATGGTTCATACATATTAATTACACAATGTAGTTGTAATTTGGTGCATAGGTGTTCTGGAATAATTCATAGACCTAGATAGTTTAAATGTTTAAAATCTGTGGATATTAATTACTTAATTTACATTTTACAATTTTCTAGTATCCCACACATGTCAAAAAACACTGGTAACATATTTCAATGGAAACCTGGTACAAACATAGATGTATAATAATTTTTATTCCTTTCTTTAAAACATTTCTTGGTCAATTGTGTAAGTTAGATTGCTCTCATAGCTGACAGGCTTTATTTATTAGGTAAATCTTAATTTAAAATATTCCTGTCTATTTCATGCTTGCAATTACCATCACTACACACATTTTCTTTCTAAACTTTCATTGTTGCTAGATTATTTCATGTTTCTCATTTGTTACGTCAAATAATACATCTTGGTTTTGAAAAAATCATTTATTTTTGCTGGGCATATTTTAAACAATGAGACAACAATATTTTTGTATTCATTTCTAGACCACAAACTCAATGAGACTAAAAAAAGTCATGTGATCATTACGATCATAGTATCAGGATTGTAATCTTTCACATGTAGTGATGCCATCTTATAAAAAGGATGAGTGATTGACTTTTTGCATTCTTTAGAAATATTACTTGCATAATAAACCACAACAAACATGTTCTCACTTGAATTATTTTTTATAATAATTTGCAGCTAAAATTGATGTGAATGCTGAAACTAAGAAAGTACAAAACATAGGTTTTCGTCCTTCACGTGACAGATATCAAACACTGAAATATATTATCAGCTGTCTGACTGCCATTATTGCACTTCCACTCAATAAACCAAGATATTATGATGGGGCTGGTGATGCAGAAACAAGGTATACTTGGATATGTAGTATAAATAAATCCTACAACTACATGAACTCTGCTATTAGCTATTGACTCTATGTATGGTTATTTACAGACCAAACTGCCAACATCAAAAGACTAATCCAAATATGGTCAAAATTCTTGTTGAGAATGGTGCCCTCTATGTGTTAGATGTGCTGTTTGTTTACTCTTGTAAACTGATAGGAAACAACAGTGGAATGATGAGTAGTGAAAACAACAGTGGAATGATGAGTAGTGAAAACAACAGTATTGATGTGCTGCATTTACACGCATTGATGAATATGTGGGATAAACCAGATACTGTGACGTTTAGATTTGACCCAAAGGAACTGTACTTTGTCCATCACATGTTGACATTCATCTCTATATTTGTGAGTTTCTGTTCACGATTAGTATATGCTGATCTCGAACAAAAAATTCTGCAAGATTTGAAGGAAGAGCAGCAAGAATGTAATAAGGATGATGACGTTGATGAAAAAAGTACTCCCATTAATGACAATCCTGACAAGAAAGTTACATGGTGTGACTCAATTCCAAGTATATTGCATGTACCATCACATCCAACATCATCATCTGTGTTGCTAGCAACACCACGCCAACCAAGTAGACAAGGAAGAAGAACAAAATTAAAAGAGCGGATAAGACCATCATCTGGATATAGATTTCACAGGAGAGGATGTAATCCTGCAGAAAATAGTGACAAGTTATTTTTTGAAAGACTGGAAAGAGAAATGTCTGATTTGAAGAAACATATGAAGCTGTTAATGCTGAAAGAGGGTGTAATACAAAGTGTTGGCCCTTGGTTACAAAGTGATTTTATTGAAATCAAAGTAAGTGTCATAACAAAAAATTTTGTTTTTTTTAGGTTCACAAGCGAGACACAAATTTTCTCATATATCCCTTTTGAGCTCAGTGTTTCAATGTTCATTATTGTCTCCTATGTCCATAACCTATATCATGTTTTTGCTGATTTCACTTGTATTTGAATCATATACATTCACAACCAATCAAGCTACGTAATCAGGCAATTTAAAGACTGATATATTATACAGATTACAAAATGCACTGTGATTTTATTATATTGTGTATTACAAGTTACTGTTTCAGATATACTATACATATTGTATATTACACATTATAGTACTAGATATACTATACATATTGTATTATTGTATATTACAGGTTACAGTACTAGATATACTATACATATTGTATATTACAGGTTACAGTACTATATATACTATACATATTGTATATTACAGGTTACAGTACTAGATATACTATACATATTGTATATTACACATTACAGTACTAGATATACTATACATATTGTATATTACAGGTTACAGTACTATATATACTATACATATTGTATATTACAGGTTACAGTACTAGATATACTATACATATTGTATATTACAGGTTAAAGTACTATATATACTATACATATTGTATATTACAGGTTACAGGTTACAGTACTAGATATACTATACATATTGTATATTACACATTACAGTACTTGATATACTATACATATTGTATATTACACATTACAGTACTAGATATACTATACATATTGTATATTACATGTTACAGTACTATATATACTATACATATTGTATATTACATGTTACAGTACTATATATACTTTACATATTGTATATTACAGGTTACAGTACTAGATATACAATACACATTGTATATTACACGTTACAGTACTAGATATACTACAATTCATATTGTATATTACAGGTTACAGTACTAGATATACAATACACATTGTATATTACACATTACAGTACTAGATATACTATACATATTGTATATTACACATTACAGTACTAGATATACAATACACATTGTATATTACACGTTACTGACCTAGATATACAATACACATTGTATATTGCACATTACAGTACTAGATATACAATTCATATTGTATATTACACATTACAGTACTAGATATACTACAATTCATATAATATATTACACATTACAGTACTAGATATACAATTCTCATTGTATATTACACATTACAGTACTAGATATACTACAATTCATATTGTATATTACACATTACAGTACTAGATATACAATTCCCATTGTACATTACACATTACAGTACTAGATATACAATTCATATTGTATATTACACATTACAGTACTAGATATACAATTCATATTGTACATTACACATTACAGTACTAGATATACTACAATTCATATTGTATATTACACATTGCAGTACTAGATATACAATTCCCATTGTACATTACACATTACAGTACTAGATATACAATTCATATAGTATATTATGTATTACA